ATGCAAACACCGTCCCGGCAAAACAATCAACAAACGTTTTAAGTTCAAAGTACCCGATAAACCTGTGTCTTGGTTGTTTTGGTAAATAGAATTCCGGGATTAGTGTAATCCCGGCCTCATCAAAGAGAGGGTGGCTGGCAGAGATAAGTTATCGGCAACATTCTCTCCGAGGAGCTATTTATAACCATCAGGAACATAGGCTCTCGTGAAGAAGAATATTGCTATGCCACAATTAATTATATCACGGAGTATTCTACTCTTTATATACGATAGTATTCTGTAATATTTGAGTTAATAAATTGATGACCTGTTTGTTATTTTTTTTTTTTTTTTTGCTGAATATATATTTTGGATCGTTTTGGTGAAAGCGACATTCAAATGAAAACTTACTATTTGCCAATTAGTAAGTACCTGTGATGTTATCGTGCCCTATTGAATCTGTCCGTGTCGCTAGGACACAACCAGGTCAGTGTCGCGTCCGCAGGATCTTACTGTTGTACCAAGTCATACGTGATTTTAACGAGAATTATCTTCAGATGACCGTTTAGCCAATAAGTAGGTACGGTGTGTCTTGAAATACAGTTTTCTGTTTTGCTTAACACAGATGTGAGTTATCTTCAGTGCAGTTTGAGTAGGTAGACATAATAAGTTGGCCTAATACCAAACATCACACTATAATTATGTTGTAATGTGTATGATTTTAAATTCTCAGCTCCTGATTTTAAACAGAGTTATTGCATGTTTAGTCCAGACATCTGATTAACACGCATGAGTACAACGTTCTTATTTCAGTATCCTTTGGCCAAGAGGTAATGATAAATTTTGGTGCACTGATAAATCAAGACTAATAACTCGATGTCAGGTTCCTTGAATTATCCAGTTTTTGTGTCCGTAAGATTTTTTCTGTGCTCTTCTCTGTGTCCCACGTTGTCATCAAAATGATATTCGGCTCTGATTGTGAATAGATTAAAGTGAGATTGTAAGGTCATTAAGGTGAACACAGTAATGTGATTATACCGTGCTGTCAAACAAGAGCCATTCGCTTAATTATCTTATATATGTCGTATTTACAATCTGGACCTCACTCACGGGTTCGGGATTGTATCAGTACGTGCTCTAGTTAACATTATATTGTACCTAGAACTTTCGTTTACCTGGAAGCTTCGCAAGGCCTCTGTAGGAGGGACATTGCTATGCACGAACATGCATCCCTGGGAGTCCATTGTCTCACAGTGTTTTCAAGAGCTTTACGTACCGGTTAAATAGGATCCTAATATCACAAACAGAAAAAGCGAACTTTTAATAAAGTTTTATAAAAATAGTTTAAAGTAGTATTTACCTTGTTTTGTTACTGTCAATTAGGGATTACTGTTAATTTTCAAACAACAACAAACAGTCAAAAATCAATCACAATATCAGTGGTAAAATAACTCGCTCGTCTTTTTTTAACAACCTGCAGGACACTCAGTACAAAATAGGTTAAGACATAATACGTTCGTTTACTAAACATGCTTGCATAAGCAATGCACATGTTTTCTTCAAAAAATCTGATTTTGTGAAAAAAGATAGTATTATAAGATGATAAAATGGGGGAAAATATATGTTCTATCAACGAGTACATTTATCTGATTTGTATTTAACTCTTATCAATTTTGAAGGTTTTGGAATTGAGCAAGGTACTGGAAGTCTTTTATTATTCAAAATCACATCGTAGATAACTAAACTAAGGTTGGAAATTGCCGAGCAAGTGTCATGAATGTTAATTGGATGTGAACGGAAATATTTTTTCTTGAAACGGTTAAAGAATTGACTTTGAAGCAAGACTTCATGAACTTTGAATCTACCGAGAGTATTGGCGTGATTGTGGTTTGTTTTTTGTTTGGATAAAACGACTGGAAATGTCAGAACATGGGCTACACAGACGTATGTTTATACCAGTGTCTCCTTGAACAAAACATTATCTGGTCATTGAGTTGATCCAATTGTCTAAGCAATCAAAAATATTTTTTTCACAGTCACGATAATAATAAACAAAACACTGATCGTATCTGTTTAAAGGGATTGCTTTTCTCTGTGTTATATGGGACAACTTTTTTCTTCCGCTGACTGCATATAACTGATGTATTTTTCTCATTTTCTGAAAACGCCGTTTAGATACGAAACGATACAGCATTCAGTAACCCCCTTTCATGCTCTTAATTAAAGTACGTGGGTGCGAGCGCAACATGACAGACTAAAAAATACATTTACACATAAATCATTTCAATCTATTTTATGGTCTCTAAAGGTCGACTATAAGATAAAATATTACGGTAACCTTAAGAAAGATACAAAGACTTTGAAAGAATCGAACCGCTTGTGAAGTGATCCTCTCATCAGCATACGCCATTGATAAAGCCCTATTAAAGCAGCCAGCGGATAAAAACTTGACAAACGTCTGTAGTTTGATGTGAGTGACACATGTTTGTCTAATAATTTATTTATACACATGAATCATCAGTGATACTCCTAATAAACCCACCCAAGAACTATGAAAATAAAGTGTTTAGGGTCCGCAGGTTTTGTCCTTCGATGGTCGTGCCCTTTTTCCTCCAATAATGGCTCTAGTTTAAACCTTTTAATAAATTTATCGCGAGCCAGTGTGTCCATGCTGTGAATTGCAGTTAAATACTGTGGCATGCGAAAAATTTGGAACGATCATAAAAAAGATTGATTCGTTTTTATGTATCTAATGCCTTTTTGACCCGTTGTCGTCACTCGACGGTATGAAATAAGAAAAAAGAAAGGTTTTTATGTACTTGAGAACACAACTCATCACTAAAGCCTGGAACGTTTAAGTCATAAAAATGGTACAAATAAAATGAATGATATTTTCTGGGGAGCTTATTTAAGTGTTCACCGACTCGGTTTCATTGCTGAATCCGAAGTGAACTGGTGTATTGCTTCTACAGACGGGTCTTTTCATGTTCAGGACAAATGGCCCACAAACTTCCATGCTTCACTGCTAATATTGGACAAACGAACGAACGAACAGCACCCTTCCAGCCAACTACGATAGAACAAACACACGTGTACCCTAAAATACCACAATCGCTATATCGGCAAAAATACTTTTTGTTTTGTTTTTCTATCTTTTTACAAATTGTTTTCGACGCCTAGTGCTCTTAATTCTGATTGTATTTATATGTCTTAATTAAGAAATTCTTTGATGACCATGCCAACCCTACTCAAGGTAATCTTTCGGTGAATATGAGTGTATCGTTGCTACCAACACACGAAGGTATGGGCGGTGAAGTCGCCCTGTACTACAGAACAATTTGCTTTCTTATTGTACCCGTAAAACAATAAAACCTGTCATGTTATATTGACGTAAGTTCAAGCATTGACTGAAGTCAATGACCCCGGACATAGCGGAAATTTAAAACATGTATACAGAAAAATACTAATAAGAAATTTAAAACATTGTTAATGACCATTTTGTTAAATGTCGTTGTTTATAATGATATCTTAATTATCATTGTCTGTTTACGAACTTATGAGTAAACTCTTATGTCAAGTTTTGTTTTCCTCGTGTCAGCTTTGCAACTTTGAAATGACATAATGTATATAACTTCAGAAATACCAAAACTGCTGATGAAACATTGATATGCAAAATAAATAATAAACACACTGGTGTAACACTACAAACAGAAATAAACCTATTGAATCACTGAAAAAAGTAGTTAGTCCGATAATCCATTGATCTAACAAGGCTTTTTTTGGGGTCCCAGATCGTGTCGAGGAGACAGGTGTTCAATAAGTACATGTGACAGATCTACGCAGATGTCACAGTAGATAGCGACACACACTTTACCCATCAGCACGTCACCCCCAACACGTGCAGTCATTAAGTGTCCTTCGTCTGTCAAACTAAATGCCGACCTGCCTCGGGTGTTCATGCAGGTGTTCCAAGTTTCGTTTAAAACGAAAGTCTACATGAGAATATGCCCGATCTAGGTATTGTTCAGAACGTTGATAATGCACTTACAGCACACCGTATATAGTCGTAAACATTAGGCTTCAGTCAATATTTACTTGTAAAAGTTGTAGAAAAAATATTTCCTTACGAATACTTGAGGTTTCCACTGTGAGCATAACAACGTCCCCGAAAATACGATATAATCTACTTAAATAGTTGAACATGTACTTCATATTACTGATGTACTTACCAATATGTTGGTACCAAATTATTCAGCTGTATGTGTTAGATCATTGTTATATGTGTGGCGAGGGATATGCGAATGGTCTTGCAGACGCAATTTTACCTGAGCAAACTCATTTTGAAGTAATCAGCTTACACAAGCAATAAAGAAATGACTAACATTTCAATTTCAATGTTTTAAAGAGCAACCCTGTATTACATTAACGTGTACGATATTGTCCTTGCGTGTTCTTTAATCAATTTGGCCTTTTGTGGGGTCTTCGATGGTATTTAATTATGGAGATGAAATTGATCGATTACACAAAACACATGTCCGATTTGACACGTGTCGTAACAAAACTTTGATAACTATCAAACGTCAAGCAGACACGATGCACTCAAAGATAATTAAACGTGATGCACTTGTATGTAATTCGTTTGACAAATTAATTACAAAATTGTCTTAATTTGCACTTATCGCTGATGCCATAGGTGATGGACGCCTTCCCTTTCATTAGTAGTTCGAGGTTTCCATTTCAATTTCCTTTCGTAAGATAATAAATTCTCGAAAATGGGCTTTGACATATTGCCTTTCGTTTATTCGTTGTAATAAAGATCCATTTTCCATGAATGACAATGTATGACAAATCTCTCGCCGTCACACTTTCATGACGAATCATTAGGTCTTGTAAAAGGAGGCAATATATTTTAATATTTTAAAGTTTTCGTTATTTGTTACGTAATAAAATACTTTCAAAAAAATTAATTTATCGGCAAAATGACTATTTCCATAATGATTTTTATTGTGTCTATATTTCAGGAACAAGAGAGACTGCATTTATATATGCTATTTTGAGCGCTGGAGTTGTGCACGCGGTGACGACAGCCTGTAGTCTTGGCAACTTGACGGACTGCTCGTGCGATACGTCACGGTACGGCGAGCACACGGTGGAGGGGTGGAAGTGGGGAGGGTGTAGTGACAATATTCATTATGGAGTGTCATTTAGCAAACGTTTCGTCGACGCCCCGGAAACGCTGATGCATCAAAGTTCGCAGAATCTGCGAAATAAAATGAATCTACACAACAACGAAGTTGGACGTCAGGTAAGGCACCATGCTGAGTATATTCTTAATTCCAAAATTATTCTTTTATCCGGATACTTGATTGGTTTTAATGTAAATAAGATTTGTATATATAATTAAGATAGTATCACCTTTAACCGGATAATGTTCATTGGCCATGACCTATTTCTATATACACCCAACACAATTTCTGTGTTCAATGGAGCCTTCTATTCCGGATATCCACTTTTCTGAGTTAATCAAATTTCGGAATAACGAGTTCCAGCTTTACTTGTATAGCTGTATTGAAGGTGGGTGGTATCTGCCACCGTATAGACTCGATTACCTTCATTGAAGTTTTAAGTGTATAACGCGGCTGTATATATCTATTTATAGCCACCAAACTTGTAAAACAATAGCTCAGTGGCACGCATTGCATTGTATACATAATTGAACCGAAGAATTATTAAAAAACAAGGAAACATCATGGAGAAAATCGGGTCAATCGTGAAATGTTGCCAACTCTACAGTGTAACCAAGGTCACTGTTACGTATCTTAATCGACTCCCTTATCACGCATCAAAGTTGAAATGAAAAAAATTGACCCTATTCCAAAGAAAAAAGAGCTGACGTAAGTGGTGGGTAATTGAACCTGTTGACCCGGAAACGATTTTAATGTGTTACTAAACACGAGCAGGGTGCGGACGTGGAAAAAACCCACTTCAAACAGCGACCCCTACCGGCTGTATTATGTCATTATGACCGGTAATTTTCAAAGGTCATCTATTTGAAGATGAAATTTGCTTTAAATATCGTGTAAAACCGCTATATAGACAAGTTTATAGTATCTGAACCGTTGAAAAGTATGCGAACAAAAAATAGTATAGATTTAAGATCGGACTATTCCACTCGTCAAATAAGGCAGTTGGACTATTCCACACTTTAAATAGGGAAATCGATACAAAAAATGGATTAGTGTTTTTCTTCATCAAATGTTCAATCAAAAGCCATATAGTTCACGAGGCCAATGATTTTTTCTGTTAAAAGATTTTTAATATTTTATATAGTAAACACTTTTTTAAAGATTAGGCAGGAATATAGTTAATTGATCTACGTCGTCAGATCAACTACACATTGGCTCATCTTACCATACTCATTTGAAATTAAGGACAAGCTAATAATTGTCTCTGTTTTATAATTTTTAATCAATATCACTACTACGTAAGGTATTTGGAGAGAACGAGAAGCAGTAAGATTGAATATTATTTTGCATGAAGAACAATTTTGTGTCAACTACCAATTGAAGTGTTCCTTTTGAATATCAACTGTATGCACATAGAACACAGTATGGGGACGGTACCATAAGAGGCATGAGGCATATTTGTGAGAATTGCTTGAACTATGTGCTAACTAAGTAGTGTCAACATTACTGAAAAGATGGCCCTATAAAACGATACACGAACATGTTGGCTGTTACGGTGTGCGGGATGACAAATACTATAAAGCGACCCTGACAAAGACTATCCAATATCGCTCAACATTATTGTTCATTTCACTGTAGAACGCGAAACAATTAAAACGAGTTATTGGCCTTTGATGGTCGTCAGGTTTGTGGTTGTGATTAAGCGTACTTTGGTTAACGTCCGCCATTAATTCTCATCTCGCTCAAGCGACTGCCGATGGCATTTGTCACATTTATAGGGACCGAACTAAACGAGCCAGTTTGTGCTAACCAAAGACAGCCGATATCACAAGTATTGATGAGTCTATCTTTGAGGAATCTATTATTTTCTTTACAGATTTTATATGGGGCAATTACATATGTTGATTTTGAGTTTTCACGTCTTCGCAACACTTCAGGTAATATGATGTTTCCTCGTGCTTAAGACACTCATTGATCACTTTATAGAACCGTTACCTGGTATGTCTGCTTTGGACAAGGGTCAGACTGGATGATTTATACCAGTTTTCATACCTTGATTTCGCACAGAAAGTCACGCGAGTGTATAAGGTATATCAGTATATTGTTTATAATCCTAAAACAGCTGACAGTCTTTCAGCGTGTCAATGACTCCAGGCTTGTATTGTTTGATATACTTAATTAATCCCTAGTTATTAACACTACCAATAAAATTACACTCACAGGACTATGACGGATCTTCATTTATACGCCGAGTGTAAAATATTTGTCATGAGTCGACGACTTGGTATGTGATTAGAAAACCTGTATTTTACGCTGCGTGAATTTACGAGCGATCAGTCAGAGGAGTGACACTTCCGTTATCATTATTAATTAGAATCTAGACAGTTTATGTCTTCATTTATCGGTCTACTGGGTTTATGTGGTCAATTGTGGTCACTTGACCGAGTCCGGACAGTGTTGATACATGTTGGTAAGCGATTTACTGATCAGAGTGTTAAAAAATCATGCCATTTTCTTTAGAATTTTTTTTGTTTTCACACACCTCTATTTTTTTATATATATTTATACGACACTTTACCTAAAACATCACATGACTTATCGGCAGACAGGGCATACGGCCCTATCCTTATGACCCTGCTGACAGACAAAATGATCTCAAATATCATAATGTAGACAGACCATCTAACCGTTCTGAGGACTTTTTTTTCTACTTTTGAGCTAAAATTATACCATTACGGCTAATATAACGGATACATCTACCCGAGATTTTCACCTGCGTTAATGTGTTTAGATAACTACATTCAATCTAAATATCAACATCTGTCTTAGTTCAACAAAGTTAATACAAAAAATCCGAGGACGGATGTCAGTTTTTGAGCATGTTGACGTAACCCGTTATTTGTACTTCGGTAGGGATCCGCCATTGATGTAAACGTAATGAAATAGATCACCTGTCATAGCTCGGTGATCCGTCTTGTAAATATACAATGACTTAAATGGATAACTACTAGCGAAAAGTGTCCTATTCAGAAAGCATGAATTATTCATACTACAAATGCATCATATTATGATTAATCTGTTTTCATATGTGATAATGTACTTGTCTAACGGAAACACGGAACGTTATTCAAACATTTTTTCAGATATTGCTAAATTTGGAATAGGCGATTTCAAATAAAAAAATGTATCCTTTACCTTAGAATCAACGTTGACGGATTCTAAAATAGTTCTCTTTTTAACCTTATAGGTGTAAAATAGAAACACTCACTGCTGGTGTACATATAGGCCCCCAGGTTTGGTATAACATACATACGTTATATAGCGGCACGTTTCAATATATACCGCTGTAAGATGTTGTTTAGTTAATTTCTGACTCTATTTTGTCTAATTCTATATATGTATTGAAAGGTGATCTTCACAATATTTGTTTTCTCCTGTAGTTGTTAAAGAAGGGAGCTGGAATGTAATCGCCGGGGAAATTTTATTATCTCGGTGATACTGATCTAGCGTAGATTACAATAACCTTAAGAACGTCATAGATATTTATTTCATTCGTTTTAGGTTACGTAAATGTATATCTATGTAGGTACTTCTGAATGTATTCAAACGTCCACCGTAAAGAAATTGCCGTTTCACGTTTTATTTCGATTTACACATTAAACAACTCAAATTTGTGAGTTTTACTCATTTATGGTACGGCAATTTTTGTTTGAATTTTAAATATTTACAGTTGTGCAAGTGAAATATGAGGAAAACAGTTAATCTGTCCGTGTTATTTCAGAACACGAATTTTAATTATAAAGTTTGTCGTTCTTAGATGCCATCAATCAAACAGCGTCCTCGTTAGCGCAAATATATTTACTCAGCGAGGCTCCAGGCGATATTCCCCGGGGGTACGGCAAGGTTCAAACCAATTTGTTTGCAAATCTGTTTTTGTTTTATTACTAGCACGTAGTTTATTCAAGTTTCAGGAACTAGGCTTAACTTGCCCATAAATTTCTACTGGATGTGCCCTGTTGATTTCAATGTTCTCATGAAAAACGAATTCATTACCATTAAGTTGATCAAAGTAATTCAGACTGCAGCAGTTTTTATAGTCTTTTTTCCTCGATAGTAAAACTGCCATTGTACACATGCAATTCGTATAAGCTTACTGCCTCCCCCATCCCTCCCCCTCTGCTTGACAGACTTATGTGGCATGTAGGCTGAATGGTATAGTCCTGCACAGCAATCACTGCCTGGCTTTGCAAGACAGGATCGAGAAATTCCTTGCTCCCATCCGATGCTGCCGTTGCACATTAAAGTAAAACGATAGTGTTAATTTTCTCTCTATAAAAATACGGTAGCCCTCTATCAAAGTCAGACAACAAAGCCTTGGCATTCCACTGTGAACTGTTGCATAGTCTATCTACACATACTGCATATCGCACTCATTTCGCGTTGATTTATTTTTGCAATTTGAATATTTTCTTATACCGAGACCCTCGTTATAAAATAGCGGTAGATGAAGATCGGTCCAATCATATTTAGAGACGGTATACTATTCAATGTAACATTCTTAATTGGAAAATTAAAACACATGAATCGAGAAGTTATTTCAGTCCTGTATTAGTGTAAAATAAGATCGAGAGGAGGAAAAACACCTTTTGAGGACAAAGCAATTAATATTCGTTTGTGGAGAAAGTGTGAAACTAAGCATGCATGATGAAGTATGTGTGTTAAAGACTTTTCAATTAGCCAATATTTATAAATTTATTCGTCCTTCGAATGATTGCCATTTATAGCAATGTTAACTTTGAAACCAGGTAACAGTGTCCTCCAAATAGAAGGTATATCCAATGTTGACGCTGTGAAGGTTACATATTAGTTGGAAACAAGATATAAAAGCTCCTATTGTAAAAAAATTACAAACAAACTATACCCTTTCCTAATTATTTCCTGACCGACTTTCAAAATTTACGACAAATTTCTTATCTGGTCGATTCTAAAACTTTCTGGATTCCAATGTAATTTTCTTTCGTTGTTTCTCAGGGTTAACATACACATTCGGTATCCGGGAGAATGTCACTGCGTATATAATAATAGATATAGTATAATTAACAGTTTAAATAACTGAAAG